GGGGGGGGGGGGGGTTGCAGATCGACGGCTTCTTGTGCATCACACGGTCCGAAGCTTCCGGACGGCACGGCGATAGGTGCCTGAGCCTGGACTCCAGCCCTAGCAGCTACTGCCTCCGTCTGTGACGGTGAGAAAGGCACAACCATCTCTAGGATGTTAAGGTATACCGGCTCTCCGCTGTGATTTGGGTGCCAAATGCTGTGAGGTATTCCATCACAACTTAAGAGACAAGGAGTTCCTCATCATTAAGAAGACGGTCTGGATCACCGATCTGGATCACTGTTTCCTTCTTCACCTCAGTTTTCTGAGCGGTTTCCGTCTCATCAGCCCAACGGCATTGAGCTTTGTTAGCGTTATACGCAGCTAACCGAGTCGCATTTCTGATCAGTCGCTTCTTGGACGGGTTTCCGTCGCGACCACTCTGAGAATGATTTTCCTTGTCCGACATCTCAAAAGGACCTGAGGACAAGTTATCCTAAAAAGGACTTTCCGGATTCCAGAAAGTAAGCCTAATCGGTTTTAATGATTTTTCCACCTATAGAAACGACCCCGACGATTATTATATGTATACGACGATTATTATTAACACCCTGCTTATCGATCCTTTTACACGGGTTAAAATGGCCGATCAATCGATATATCGCAAAGCACGCCACTGCTTTACTTGCTTTCTACATCGAAGGAATACCAGCATGGCAACGTCGTTTAAGAAGCATGCACATTTCTCACGAAGGACACGAGAGCAGCTTTTTCGGGTGGGAAGGAAAGAAAAAAGTTGTTTTATATCTTTAAACACATGGGAAGAAGTTGAGGAGAGAAGAAGTTTTTTTTTATTTCGTCTGAACTTGGTTCTATTAACTGAGGACGTATCTTAGATTAAAGCGAGCGCTCGGGAATAAATCAGTCATGGGGATTGCGCGTTTTTCACGGGTCGATGTCGAAAGCTGCATTTTTTAGCGGGAACGTGTGCTCTCCGTGAAATCAGCTATCTGGCGACTCCCATTGTGAGCGCAGTCAGATTTATGCGGGCCAATCCGCGACAACACCTCTTAACAGTTCTCCCGATTTAAACGCGATCATGGAAACGCAAGGTGCCAGACTTGGACTTGTTTATTCAGGAAGTATCAAAGAAGTTAATATAAATAAAATGCGGAAGTTTTTGAAGGATGCATCCTGTGAACGTTTGTTAATATGATTGATTATGTAAATTAGGAATTCCATGTCAGACGAAATTTTTGTCGGTCCGGTGACGCTCTGAAAAGGAAGATCGTGAAATACAAAATGATGGTAACATTCAAATAGCGCAAATGGAATTAGTTGGAGAAGTTTATTTGAAAGTGAAAGTAAATCAGTGAGGAACTGTAGTAGAAAAACATACTAAATTCGTGTCAATGCCTTTGCCTACACTGGAAAAAAACACATTGGATCTAGAGTCCATACTCTTATAAACGTCGACAAGAAAAAGTTCTCTTGATTCAATCAGATTTAAGCTTAAATCATGAACCAAGCCTCTTAATTTGAGCGGATTTCCTTTTGATTTAAGCTTAAATCTGATTGAATCAAGAGTCCTTTTTCTTGTCTATGTTTTCAAGAGTCTGCACTCTACATCCAATGTGTTTTTTTCCAGTGTGGACTTGTTTATTCAGGAAGTATCAATTAAGTATATTGAAAGAAAATGCGGAAATTTTTGAAAGATGCATCGCCAGTGAACGTTTGTTAATATGATTGATTGTAAATGGGGAATTCCATGTCAGACGAAATTTTTGTCGGTCCGGTGACGCTCTGAAAAGAAAGAATGTAAAATACAAAACAATGGTAACATTCAAATAGCGGAAATGGAATAAGTTGAAGTTTGTTTGAAAGCGCGAGCAAATTATTCCAGGCGCCTGGTAAGTCTACCTGGAATTTTGGGTACTCAGCGATTTTTTTGGCTTAATTTTTGTTTTTAGGGTCGCCGAATCTGAATCTAAAGTTTCCTACCGCGTATCTGGTGAGCATTTTCCGTCATTTTGAAAAAATGGCCTAAATAGGCCCTCTTTTGCGGTTTTTTTGATATAGCGGCTACGCATGTGATAAAGTCCCAGATTTAGTTAATGTTTTGAATAGCTGACATAATTTGGAAGAAAATGGTTTATGAATATGCTAGGTTTACACATTCGTGCCTTTATGAATGAGTGTAAATGCAGTTCCTGAATGCAAAGTGAAGTCCAATAACGTTTTCAGCTACCTGTTGCGAGACCGCATTGCTTTCAGCCAAGCAACCAATAATTAAAGGAATAATAGCTGAATGACACTAAACCTATATTCTAAGTACCAATACGCCTGAAACCTCAATTACTTCGACGTAGATAATATCTACTCCATTCTCATTTGCCATTTTTCAACGTATCTCGTCTCTTTCACTTCTCACTTGTTCATCACATCTAGCACTAAGAAATGACACGCACTATATGTAATGGTACAATGGTGCTGGCTCCACATCATTTTGGGGAGAAATGTTGGAAGTTGATGTTTTGAATAGCTGACGTGATCTGAAAGAAAATGGTTATTTAAATATGCTAGGTTTGCTCAAAAATTGAGGAATCTCGGATCACGGAACTCGGAACTCGGAACTTTGGAACGCTTCGGAACTTGGCTGACCGCGGCGAGCCGGATCGCGCGTTGACGGGTGCGCCGCGAGAACGTGAATGGGCGCGATGCTCACGATGCTGTATCTTCCTCAATGTTTAAGCAAACCCAGCATATGTACACACCATTTTCTTCCAAATTATGTCAGCTATTCAAAACATTAACTAAATCCGGGACCTTTTCTCACGCGTAGCCGCTATTTAAAAAAAACCGCTAAAAAAGGCCTTTTTAGGCCATTTTTTCAAAATGGCAGAAAATGCTCACCAGATACGCGG